ATCCAAACCATTCTGTGATTCTATGATTAGAGGAAAGTGAAAAGCTTCAGGAAATTGCAGAACATGTATTGAAGACAAGGGCTGGTATTGATGAATTTGTAGTTAAACAAGAATAACGCAGTGTTTGAATCATACATTTCTGAAAGGTTATTAAACCACCGGAAAACATGCTCTTTATCTGAATTGGAAAGAATCCAGTGTTCTTGGTGTCTAAAAGGCCTGCTTAGAAGACAGAAGAAAGGAGTTAAAGCATGCAGTCAGCTTCTGTAGTTTTCTCAGTTCGTGTATTTCGGCCCCGATGCGATAGCAGTTTTCAAGCTTCTGTTCTGACAGCGGTGGTTTGTACCATATGTTAGGTTACACAAGTGTCTTAACCAGGGACGTGCCTGAAAATGAGGACCAACTGTGGTCAAGCCTCCAGATGCAGTTATACTGGATTCAAACAAATCACTGTGGTTACAACCTTCAAAGAGCGGTCTCTGAAAATCTAGCCCGTCCTGTTTATGGTGGTACCTGGAGGAACAATTAAGGGATTAAGGAATTTGTATTTCTTTGCTTCTCTATCCTTCATCTTCCTGTATTAACGTTTTGCTCTGGGTTCAATTCTTTGACAGAACTCCCTACAGACACGGAATTCCTGGAAGCCATAACCAGTGCTTTGAGGGCTCTCCTGCAAACAATGGCATCAAAGAACATCTCCCAGGTAAAAGCTTTCAAACTCAAGTGCTCTGTGAGATTGTGCTGGAAAGTTTTTGTAACAAAACCATTTAAATGAAGTGCTAAATTTCAGCAACTGTGACCACTGAAAGAACAGATTTAATAGCATTCATTCTTTATATTTTTCATGGACCTTACAGGAATACTTTTTTTATATACCCTCTCCTAAACAGATGAAAGGTATTTCAAACCAAAATAGCAATAAGTCACAGCTAGTGTCTTTAAGAGATGGATATAATGACAAGTATTTAGTAAATTACCACCTAGAAATGTGGATTCTTTATTTCCTGATGTCATCTAGTTGAAGGTAGTTGTCCTTCTACAGTCTTGGTTGGACACAAATTAGTGAGCTAAATAGTTTGTTACACAAGAGGTAATACTAGATGGTCTGCTGGTCCTTTCTGGGTTTAAACTGAAAAATGAGCTTCTATACTCTAAGTTGTGATGAGCTTGAAATAGCTATTGAGCTGGGTAAATTTGTGAAAATCCCTCTGGGCTCAGAACTTTTTCTTTCAGCTTCATGACAGCCTTGGTTATGTTCTGGGAGAAGAACCTTAAAAAGTTGAAAATGGAGAGTTTAACTGTTTTCTTGCAAATTACATTTTCATATTTCATGTAGTTTTTATAATACAGGAGACCCTGTTTCTCTGTTATAAATTTGCCTGTGTTCTGTAAAAGCAAATTATCTAAATGTCATATCTGAAAATTCCCACGAGAGCGTAAATGTATCTATCTTCCTTCTTTTTTTTTTTCCCCTTGCTAAACAGTGTATGACTCCTGAGCAGCTATTGGCGTTATGTGAAGCTGGTATTCACAGCAGCAATGACAGTGTTAGAGTGAACGTAGTGAGCATCCTTGGAATCTCTGGCAGCGTCCTGGCAAAAGGACAAGATACAGCTGAAACACTAAAGGTGAAAACGCAAACTTTGCATTGCAAGCCTAAAACAGTTATGATACTTCTTTCCATTTTCTTACGCATTGCTGGAAGAATCAATTTTTCTCTCTTATTTCAGATGATTGGAAAATTTCTTCTTGACATTGCTATGAAGGAATCTTCTCTTGTGGTAGCAGGGGAAGCCTTGGATGCACTTTTTGATGTATTTGCAGATGGTAAAGAAGCCGAAAAGGCAGCGGTACAGATCAGGTTGCTTCCAGCACTGAAAGAATTTCAGCCAGTGTTCAAAATGAGGGTAGGCATCAAATGTAGCCAGCTAAATTCTAAACTGTAATTGTAAGTACATCCTTGTCTTAAATAGAGAATGACCTTCAATATGTCATTTCTTGAGTCAGATGAAGCCTGAGGAGTGACTTCAAGACTTAAAGCTAAGCACTATACACACAAAATACATACCTGACAGTGCTACAGTTGTTTGGTTAGTTAGATGTGCAAGGTCTTCCATATAAGAAATAAGTGTATGTTTCAGATTTATGAGTGAAATAGTATGCCAGCAGTAGTCTGGTTTAGGCAGAGATGTGTTACAGTAAATTGACTTGCCGAAGTAATTGCTAGCTACACTGGTGCACATGTTGAGTTCTCAAAAGGCGTGGGTGGCATGCCTTGATACAAGACACAATTACTATAAGCTTTAGGTGATCTAGCAGGAGAAACTTCTCCAGTAGTAAAATATGTATTTTCTGGTTTTACAGATGCGAAAAGAAGGCAAAGGACAATATAGTACAGATCAACTGTGTGTTCTTGACAATGTGAAGATGAATTTGAGAAGATTCATTGCATATCAGGAGACAGTAGGGAAAACCCCAACTTGAAACATCGAGGAATTTTAAACCAAGGTTTCCCTTATTGAACAATCTTTTCCGAAAATATAACCGTTTTGAACTACGAAAATTTATTGAGCAGAGCAGTTTTGCTTTCATGATAATACTGCATTTTTTTACATTCAGTATTTTTATACTTCTGGGTTGATGCAATATGAAAGCCACATCACCGTAAAAAACATAACATACTTGGATATTAAGTGTTAGCAGTGATAAGAACGTGCTCTTGCATTCCTGACGTCTGTACATAGCACCACTGTCATTGTTTAGAAATCCTCACATATCCTGGCAGAAAAATGTAATTTCATGAAAAAGTAATTTAGAGAATATTCTCGGTTATGTGCTAGCTCAAGAAAAAAAAATTTAAAAGCTCAAGATATTTTTCAGGGAAGACAGCAGTGGCAGAATGCTCATATTTGCTATTTGCTCTTACCTGTTTCTAGAATTGCACAGGCACTTACGGCAACCTTCCCAAGAGAGGTGTGTGACAGGCACGTAGATTACTGTCAGCCCTTGGATCTATTACTTCATGAGGTTTATTGTAGAGGAAACTGTTTCAGATTCATTTATGATGAATTCAGTATGACAGCTTTTTGCTGTGGAAATTGGTGTAAGAGGATCCTATGCGTATCCACAGCTCCCTGTTTTTACTTGATTTTGATTGGTATTTCTGAAAATCAAGTTTTCTGATCTACTTCCTTGTAATTCTACATCAGGATGAATTTGAATTCAGGGAGGTAGTAAAGCTAATAAAAAGTTGTGGGTTTTTTTATACTGAGGTATTATGTAAAGTAACTTTATAATTGCCTAAAATATATTTTAAAATATTTGTGATAGAGATTTTTAAGCTGTAAAATACAGAAGCTATTTAAACAAAAAGTCACATTCATGAAGATTGTATGTGAAGTTCCATATATTGAAAGCTTTGGTTTTGTTTCTGTGAATGTGATCCTCTCGTATACACTTTCTTAAGGAAGAAAAACCACAACCAAACCCAAAAGCATTTTGTTATGCTGATTTTAGAAATGGAATTTTTTTCCCTGCTCTTGCCTTAACATGCTGCCTTAGCACAGACATCTAGTTTTGGCAAAATTTTGCCCATGGTGTTAGGCATGGAACTACAAAGACCAAATTTGCTCGGTTCGTTAGATTTCAGCCTCAGATTGGAGAGCAGGCTCAGGAACTGACCGGCTAACTTGCAAATGAATGACTTTATGAAATCCTGACATATGGTGTTTTGTCAAATGCAAGAAAAAGTGACAAATGAGTTTAAGCAGCTATACTGCCTGAGGTCCTGTTATTGCCACTTCTTTACCGGAGTTGGATGAAATGTGTGATGTGATGCGATGGCTGCTAATGAAATGAGTGAGTGGGAGCATGGGATCGGCAGGGCTCAGGGGTCATGGAGCCTGGCCTGGAGAACTCCTGAGGAGCACAGAGCAGTTGAAATGTTATCCTGGGATTCGGGGGTCACAGGCAGTGAAGAGGGCTGGGGTGTAACTGCTGAGGAAAGGGTAGCTAGGTGGATTATGGCATAGGACTGCACAGTGTGTGGATTTTAATCCCCGTGTTAGTTATACGTGCGGTACACTGAGGATAGTGTCATACTAGCCTGAGCATTAGTATTTGTTCAGAGCACTTACAAGGACTTTCACGCAGAAAGTTCTGCTCCCAAATTCTGGGTGCTGCATTGAATTGCAGGATGATCCAGGTTGGAAAGGATCTCTGGAGGTCTCTTAGTCCAGTCCCCTGCTCAAATCAGGATTTATCTTGGAGTCAGATAGGTTGTGCGAGGCCTTGATAATCTCCAAGGATGGGAATCCCAGAACTCTGGACAGCCTTTTCCAGTGCTTGACTGCCCTCCCTGTGAACACTTTTTTTTTTTTTTTTTTTCTCCCCTCTTGTGCTTTGTAGGACTTCCCCCTGCTTCGAAATGTGCCCCTTGTCCTTTGACTGCACAGCACTGAGAAGAGTCTGTCTCCATCTCCTCTTACAACCCCTTTTTGTTGGTTGAAAACAACAATTACATTCCCCTCTTCTCCAGGTGGAAGAAGCCCAGCTCCCTCAGCCCTCCCTTGTACATCGTGTGCTCCAGCCCATCCTGGTGGCCTTCTGCTTCCCCTGCCCTGCTACGTCTTGTACTGGGGGGCCCAAAACTGGGCACAGTGCTCCAGATGTGATCTCATGAGTGCTGCACAGAGGGAAGTAATCAGTTTTCTTGACTTGCTGGCCATGCTCCTGCTAATGCAGCCCCGTTATTTGTTAGCTGTCATCACCGCGAGGGTGCACTGCTGGCTTCCCTCAACTTACTGACCCCCACGTCCTTCTCTCCAAAACTGCGCTTTGGTCATTCAGTCAAGAACTTGCTCTGTTTCATGGGATTATTCTGCCTCAAGTGTAGGACTTTGCATTTTATATCAAGTGTAGCAGTCAGAATCTGCTTCCTGGGGACTGTTAGAACAATGGAGCATGTTATTTTTTGTTTAGGGTTTTTTTTGTAGGTTACTTATGAGAAGCAGCATTTCCTCTTCAAATATGAATCTGAAAATTGTGGATAAATATATGGAAGACAAGGCATCCACTAGAAAACCTGATTTTCTTGATATAATCTATCAGACTCTGTTTTTTCCTTCAAGTGAAAAGACAGACTGTCATTTAGATCTTAAGCTATTCCAGCAGTAGGCATGCATGGATTTTTTTTTTTTTTTTTTTTTGCTATGCACTAATCAGTTGAATGTCTTAAAAAAAGTCATTTGTGTCATAATAAGATAGGTGCATACGATGGACCATGTTGCTTGCAGAAGTATATGATTTTTAGTGTTTAAAATATTTGTTTCTAGCTTGTGGTACCCATGCCATTTCTAGCTAATAGCTGAAAGAGAAACGAGGACATGCAAAGGCATTTTGGTTTCTTGTGAGTTTGTAACTGGAACTAACAAATACAGAAAACCTTTGTTTCACCTGAGGAGACTGGAGCACTTCAGTGTTTGGCTGAGGGCATGGAGCGCTGACAGGCTGGCAGCTCTGTCTCCAGCCCACCAGGTATGTTTTGGCCAGTAGAGGGGTAAGCTGTAGCTCTTGGGAGGTGTTTTTGTTGGTTTGTTAACCTCATCACAAATATTAATGACACTTCTATATGTGATTTCCTAACATACTGTCTTGTAAGATCTTTGCCAAAGTCTATTGCCCTTACCAGTGGTCCACAGCAAAATGGAGCCCTCATCTTCTTTTGGGGTTTCTATGATATTACAGTTATCTGATAATAATTAGCCAACTGCGTTATTTGATGTCCATACTTTTTATTTCTCTGAATGAGAAAATCTTACTCTTATGACCTGCCAGCTACCAGTTTAGTGTAGCACTTGTTCTTGGTCTCTAATTGAGGGCTTGTGACTGAATGAGAGGTAATAATTGTGTACATTAGAGAGCACGTTCTCCTTGGAAGGGAAAAGATAGAAGAGAATAGCAAAAGCATGGAAGGCTTTTGAAGACTTTTGTCTGTGGAACACAGGGCAAGTTATCAGTGATTTAAAGAAGTGTCAGATTGGTGCCTAAAACCAGATGAGGTTTATAAGTACAGAAGAGCTGAACTGTAGGATTGGGGCTATGAAAGTTGTTCTGACACAGCTGAGGAAGATTAAGGCACCAGAAGTGATGATGTGGTGCAAATTAAATGTTTTGGGGGCTCTTTTGGCACGGGTTTATTTAAATAGCTTTAGGGTGAGCTTCAGATGAAGACAAGATCTTTGACAGTCTACAAAGGCAAAACCAGATCTTGAAGATACTTTGAAGGTGGCAGGAATTGGACTGCTCTAGACAGCATGCAGCATAAGTAAACAAATGCTAAATAGATGTAAGTGATCTTCATCAGTTCATGTAATCACACAGATAAGACTGGTATCAAAACAGGTATCTGACTTTGTTTGCTTATCCTGGTCCCTAAGGCATCATCTGTCTGTGCTTCAGTTAAAAACTGCAATCTTTTGGAAGTATGGGTTGCTGCTTTGTTTGTCTCCCTGGCACCTAGCACAACAGAACCTAGGCCTGGGTTCAGATTTTATACCCAAAGGTGCCGAATTTACGATGGCCTGTGGCATTAAGTGAAGAGTGGGGGGGGGCTGTGTGCTCCCTGCCCTGTTCGGAGCAGCAGGACCACTGGCGTTTGCTGCTGCTTTGGCCTCTCTGCAGCCTGCAAAACATTGAATCCCCAGCTGTGTAGATAAGGAGCTATCATTCCTATGCAGTTTTATTTTTGCTCTCTATGAAAAGAAACGAGCGGCAAGATTTAAATAAGCATTTGTTGTGAAGTACTTTTAATACATCATGCCTTGACATTCAGAAGATGTGTGCATATGACATTATAGTCAATAGTTTAACTAGTTGGGCTTTGTGGTGTGTGTTGAAGGTCTTTTTTTGCACGGTATGTTTTATTTTTTTAAAGATTGTCATCCGAGAGGAACAAGAATGACTTTAACCACCACCACTACTACTACTTGGCTTGGTTTTCCGTTTGTATTTTGAGAGGAAAATATTAAAAAAAAATAAGAACACATTAAAATTACAAAATGAGAACTGTGTCGGAGAACAAATTAATTTAAATACCGTTTGTAGTTTAACTATTGTAAATGAAATGCATATCTTGTGGAATATTAACATAAAACAACCAACCAAAAATGTGCATAAACTCAAGTTCTATTTCCTTAGTAAGTAATTTTCAGTAAAAGCATTCCCAGAGGATTGGATGGAGACGTCTAGCCTTACATTTACTGTTGCAAATTCAAATTCAGGCAGTGCTGTAGTGGTAATTTAAAATAATTTAATTGTTCCTTTCTGACAGAGATGAATTGAGCAAACAATCTAAATATAGTTTGTGCTGGACATACTGTTAAGATATGGAACAGTGAGATAATTGGCAAAAACTGAAAACTCTGACAGTCACAGCAGATTAAGGAACTTGAAGTTTTTCTACAAGGGCTGAAACATGGTGAGCCTTTCTGTTGGAAGAACATTTTCCTTGAGTGGTGGGGTTGTCTACTTTCCGAATATATTCAAACCGTTAACTTTTGTGCCTTCTGAGAAAAATAGCATGCATTTAAATCATTTCCCTGTAATTTCATTTTGTTTACGAACTATTTTCAGAAGTTTATTTTTTTCTATAAGAGGCATTTTGTCAGACATAATTCAGTGACCACAGCACACAAAGGATATGGCAAAACACTTAATTTTCTCTCAAATCTGGGTGTCAGGAACTC